GAGCACGGGTTTCCGTTTATGTTGACTCATCGGCCCCTTCTAGAGATTCATGCCTCTCCTCAGCCCTTTCCTGCATACAACTACCAGTGCTTGTGACGGTTCTGCTTTCGCCATCAGGTACTTAGGTAACCCAGAATCGATCAGTCGTCTGAAAGAGAGGTCTGGGCTGGTCTGGGCATGATAATCGAGAGTGTCGGAAAATTCGTGCTCTTGGATGCTGCCTTGAATTTGGAACATGCCAGTGCACTGCTATTGGTCGCAAAGAAATCCTCTGACCCCGAACACGTAAGCGCAAACGTCTCTTCTCTGTTCGCACACGACCCGACGCGTCCATGGACAGCTCGCTCTCAATATTGTCCTCGACACTCATCACTCGTCAGCCCTATTGTCTACCTACACACATCCTGCCTTGTTCGCCTACTGTAGGCCCATGCATGGTGACCAATCGGGCATCTAGTTATCGGATCAAGCTTCGAGGCCTATAACCACGATGGCTCATCCAATGATATGTCCCAGAATCTAGAAGCCTTTGGATCCCCTCTGCGCTAACCCGCATTGATGTCGCGTCTTCGTACACCGAATCAAAGAATGTAGGTGCCTGAGATTCACACGTGAGCAAAATCAAGTCCTGTCATTGCGCTGATTCGTCATACACCACGAATCTCGCAGTCTTTGGGATGCTACAAAATATACGCCAAGACAGACCGTTGGTGTACCCCTTCTGAGACCCATGTCAAGATGAACTTTAGCAGACGATTGATGACGAACGGACGTTCGCGTTTCACATTTTCTATGTTCGTGTTCGAAATATGTATGCCTAATATACCTATGTCAAAGTACCTGGATATCTCCAAAATGTCTCTAGGTGGACGTAACAACGTAGATACCGGTATGTTTCAACGTCTAGTGCGTCCCAGTAACCTTCAACACCGCCGATGACGCCTCCAATTTTCTTGTCGGCATTATATCACCAAAGTGTCAGGCTGTTCAATCGATCCAAGGTGCAATGTGCTGCTACTGGCAGGATTCAAGAGCAAGCTGAAGAACTCTCTGGTAGCTAGAACCACCAAACCTGTCGATAGACTCGCCTCGACTCGGCAGTCAGAGTCAAAGTACAAGCCTAGACGGGCTCGGCCTTATCAAGTGTGGGCTATCTCGTGTCAGGGGGATTCAGAATGCACCGTGCCGGCCGTAGCCCATGCCCATTTTACCGTATAAGTCTTGCAGGGGCGACAGCGTTGGTGAGACGCAATGGTCCCGCCAGTCACCGCCGACGTCTTCGTCGCTGCACTCCGAGACGCCATTACTATCTCGCCGAACATCTTTTCTATGAGGTACATGGTCATAAGGCTGCGCGTACCCCATCTGAGGCGCCGCGTATGCCTGTTGAGGCGTCACGTACCGTGGCTTTGCCACCGGCGGCATCTGGTACTGTGGCTTCGGAGACGGCATCGCCATCTCAACAACGGCCGACTGCGGCTGCGCGATACGTCCCGCATGCTTGACTTGCGGCGTTCGGCGTGGATCCTGCTGGGACGGGCGAGATACAGGACTGGGCCTCGACGTCGGCTTCGACCGGTGTAGGCCGCTTGACATCGGCTTTACGGCAGCGGGCTGTTGATAGACGAGCTGCTGCTGGCGTTGCTGGTAGTACGGCGGCTGAATAGGAGATCTCTGTGACATTTGAGGAGGGGCCGGGCGCCGGAGTGCACCGGATGATGGGTGAGGCTGCCGAGCGCGTTGCGGATCATATACCGAGCGAAACTCAGCACCCGGCATGGTAGAGAGATGGGCAGCAAGGCCGGGCTCGATAAAAGAATCTCGGCAGGCCGCTGTTGCTTGGCCACGTTGTCCGGCTTGCGGGTGACTTTGGCGGTCGGTTGGCCACCCGTATTTTCCTGCAGCCCGGGTCGCCGCCATCTGAGCTCGCAGCTTCCCGTTCCCCTGTTCCATGGCCCGGTGTTGAGGGCCGACGGGCTGGCGCTGGGGATGATATGGTTGAGGATTCGGCCTCTCGTAGTCGTCGGATGAACCACAGCACATGGTATACAATATAAGTACAGTATTGTTTTGGGGGCTCTGAAGGGCAATTCGAAAGGAATGCAATGTTATGTATATGTCCTTGATAATGAAAAATGAAGGCGACGGTGAGTTGACAATACATAGGTTTTCTGTACCTGACAGGAAGCGAGTGTAGTGAAGTGAAGCAGACTGCACTGACAGTTTCAGTCTGGTGAGATATGAACGTAAAGAGATGGAATGAAGAGAAATCGAAAGATGGAGTCAAAACAGTTGTTTCCCAAATGCATCCTTTCGAGTCAGAACGGACTGAAGTTTTGCCTTAAATAGAGTCGAGTTACCTTAACCCATTACTACTAACAAAGACTTCTTTGTCAGTCCCGTCTTCTGAGGTTGACTTCGCTCCAACAATCGTGACACTTCCGGCTACTCAAAGGGATGAACAAAGAGTGTGCTAATGTCAGCCACTGTCTATGCCACTCTCGCAATCTAGACGGCTCTCTGGGGCTTGTGTCTGCTCCTGAATGACGCCTGGGTCTCTGTATAGAAAGTAGACCAATCCAGGTGGCTAGTCAATGATCTAATCTAACAGTACGCGTACAGCAAAAAACACTCTAGGTATACATGTTCATTTGTATTTAACCTCACACTAAGCTCATTGATTTATGTTTGACTCTACTCACTAAAGATGTCAGACACGATATCACCGTTAGGAATGAGGATTGAAACCGTCATAGCACTACACATGTAGGCCCCCTAGGGAATAAAATAGAGATAAACATTCATTGTAAACGTCACACAAGGCAGATTCGGTCTACAAAAGTTCAAATGCCAGTTAAATTCTGGTACGTAATGGTGACAAGCTTAGCTAGTGGACTGATACTTCTTATTCGAAATGGCCAAGTTTTCGTTACTTCCTGCCTTATTACCATGTTCTCGTGGGCATGTTCCACGAAGTGATTCTCAGAGGCATCTTAGTCCCGAGGCACAAATTTGAACTACCATGTGTTGATTTTATTGAGTCGCAAGATCAGAAACCTGGGAGCTTGCAAGATCACCGTTCATAGCTCCGTACATTCAGTATATATCAAGTTGGTCGCCTAAATGGTATGTTCTTTCCGGCCTAGGAAGAAGGCCTCACAAAACCATGATGAATACTTCAACCTTTTTTTTTTTCCCAACGCAGTCCACGTTATTGTGGGCTAGCCAGAAGGAACAAAGCCTGCGGTTCAATCTTGAACGAACATACAATAGGATTATCAGTCTAGCCAAACCTTTGAAGCTCAGGCCATTGTCATTTCAAAGTGAAAGATAATTCCCTGGCTTATTGTGATGAATGAATCGCCTCCCATAAAATCACGTCACCCCCCTGTCTGGTTGTACTAACTACTGATAGACCAAATCACCTGTTCCATTCGAGGCAACGTAGTCAATCACACCACAATGGATGCCATCAAGAGATGGCTTAGCCCCAAAAAGAACAAGGCCCAAGAACAGGACCTTCGTATCAGTCCCCCACTACCTGGGAGTTTCCAGCGACTATCGGACAGCGCTGTGTGTCAAGCCTCGGTGGAATCATACACTAAGACCAATACCGCCACCACTGATTTCGTTCCCAAGGAGAAGGGCAGAGAGCAAACACTTGAGTTTCTTAATAGAGGTACGTCGCGCGCTCTTCATCACTTGATCAAGGAGCGAGACATAGCGGCTAAACAGGCGCGTCGCGCGCCTAAAACCAAGGGCACCAGAGAGGTACAGTGGATACTTCGGAGACCGAGCGCAAAGACCGTCGAGCAACTTCATCGAGTCAAGAACCAGGCTGAGTTCACAATCAAATACGGCGTGCCTGCCGTAGCTGTCTATAACTTTAGTAAGTCATTGAGTTGGAATAGGAACGCGCCCCAGAAACTCCCCCCGCTGCAGCTCCGGGACACCAGGACCATTACGCGAGACGTTTGCCAGCCCTCTGTCCCTCCAGTGCCGTTTACACCGATCAACTGGCTCGTACTCCCTGTCAACGAAACTCGCCAAAACGCATCAGCAACGTTGTTCCCAATCAGCGAAGCTGGTGGCTGGAGGGCTTTAGCAGCAGTGCTCGAACATGCCCAGAGCGAAGAAAGTGAGGAGGAAGAAGGCGGACACGAAAAAGCGTCGGGACTTCCGGATGTCAGCAATGAGGTTGAGGTTGACCCCTACGATGATTCACCGGTTGAATCAAGTATGAGTAGCATAGAGCTGTGGGAGTCCCGCGAAGCAAGGGTCTTGGAAATGACAGAGATAGCGCATCGTCAGGTCCGACAGGTACGAATTCCTCCGAGGCAACGCCATCCAGTTGACGAATTGTCTCCGATTGAAGAGGAGAGTCCCTTAGGATAATCGTGAAATAAATTGTCATCTAGGTAAATCAGGTTTCAAGCAAGGAAGCAAGTTGCGTAGTAGAACACATACATATCAGAATAAATACTAGTAAAATTGTTTTATTTTTTTATTTTTTTGGCAAAACGCATAATTATATACAAGGTTCTTCAGGGCTCAAAGAAGCGCTCGATAGATTGTCACCCTCGACCGAGAATTAAAGGATTTATTAGGGAACTACTACGGTAACGCAGATAATCGTTGTGATTTGAGTATCACTTACTTGATACCTGACTTGCCGGCACTGGAGCTTCACCAAAGAGTGGGAATATGGCCTAAACTATAGAAATTAATGGACAGACAGCATACCGTGAAATCGAATCACAGGAGTTCAAGCTAGGATATATCAGAATTTACCAGCAAGCATCAATATTACTGATCACCGAATGCTCAGAACAACTTGTAGGTTTGCTACAGGTAGCCCGAATTACCATAACGAACAAAAGGATGGCACTGACATGACGCACAAAAAAATTGGCATTTCATAAATAATCAAATGAAACATAAACGTGCCAAAGGAAAAGGATAATTCACTTCGTGAAGGTAAAATGTTGTGTAAATGCAAAAGGTCGACCTGGGAATCGAACCCAGATTAGCGGAATCAGAATCCGCTGTGATAACCATTACACTAGTCAACCGATGACTACGATTTCATTCGTGGAAGCAGCGGCCTCTTATCTACAATTATATCTATTTGTCATAGAGTAAAGTGGGTCATGAACGGGTCTCCAGTTCGGGGGAGCTAGGGTAACAACTTCAGTTACTCATTTTGTGAAGACAAGCTACGGCACAAATATCTGTTGGACAATGATACTAAATTACACGATAATCGCTTTGTGCACAAATCTGCGTAATCCCCAAATGTGCGACAATATCTTAATGTATGTATGTTGGTGTTGCCCGTTGAGTGGGTACTACCTACCGGATATCCAGCAGCTCCCAGGTTGGCAATGAAGTCATTACCCCGTAAGTAGCTGCCAGCACCAGCTCAGTGCCATCCATTTTGCAGTGCACAATTCGACCTCACTTCGACTGCAGTCAAGGCTTTCTAGAAACCCAGGATCAATCTCATGAGCATGGTCTACCGTGGGCATAACATGGAGGGTATCATACGGTTCCATCGCAGTAGCGAAGTAACATATCTTGGGGGAGTTCTCGATGTTTTTCATTTTTATCATTATATGCAACTCTCAGGCGGTTCGTGATCTTGCCGATGGCAGCCACTTAAGGCAGAGCAATGCATTCAATCTCCACGTCGACATTCTTTGGAAGCGTTTTGACAGCAACGCAGCTGCGAGCTGGCTTGTGAACAAACCATTTCTCGTACTCCTTGTTCATCTCGGCAAAGTGCGCCATATCTGCAAGAAAGATATTAACCTTGACCACCTTCTGGACTGATGATCCAGCCGCGAGAAGCACAGCCTTGAGGTTTTCAATGCATTTTGCAGTCTTGTCACCAATGGACCCCTCGATCAAGTTGCCTTGGGCATCGCAAGGGATTTGACCCGAGCAGTAAATGGCTGATGGTGTCTTGATAGCTTGTGACTGTGTATCCCTGATTAGACGTCTGTTTCTGGCTAGGCACGAATGCCGGAACGGAACATACATAAGGCCCAGCGGCTTCAATAAGGTTAGCAGAGTCGGTCAACACATGCTTGACTATGAGATAGGAGTAGATACATACGTGGAGCTGCGTCCTTGGTAAAGACTGGTGAGATGTCAGACATTTTGCGGACTGGTGTGTAGGTGGCAGGAGTGAATGGCAGGATTGAGGCAGCAGTAGTTGCGATAACGCGGCGAGCAGGAGGAGTGAGAAGAGAGCGGATTGTGAATATGCGAGATGCCATAGAGGTCAACCGAAAAGACATAAGTGTGCCCTGGGTAGCCGTAAGAACGTAGATATTTATGTAGGTAACCTACTAATCAGGTATATTCTTGATCAAGTTTGACGTCAGGCTTATTAGGGTTTGAGCTTCTCCTCCGCTCCTCGGCGCGTGTCCCACGGTGTCATCATCCGTGCATTGCACAGGTCCCGCCTCACTGAGTCCGATAAGGACGCCGAGTGTTCAGGCACGAGTTGAGGTTCGGAGAGGTATGGGATGGGACATGACATGGATATAGGCACTACACAAGCGGAGGTCTTTCTGATGTAGGTACTTAAGTATGTTTGTACAATAACCGGTACCTATTACACTCTTGTATCTCCTTAAAAACAGACATTCATCAAGGGCAGTTCTCTGCTGGTTTTGAGCGAATTCTGTGTATCTCTGAAAATTACCTCTTACTTCCTACTTATAAGGTAGGTCTACCTATCTCTTGTAATTACTACGTACCTGGTAGGAAGTACACGACTAGTAGGTAAGCTGCAAGGGGGCTACTGAAGCCCCTGCTGTAATGCTATCGATAGAGGTAAAACCCACAGGAGCACGGGTTGCAACTTTCAGCGTATCGCTGATGGTCCCGACTCCCAGGTGTATGCGCCAGTCTGCAGGGGGCTTAAGGGATTTACGACTCAGTCAGGGCCCCCAGCTGAAGGTAGCTGGGGGCTCTTGCCAAGTGGCCAGAATCAACTCGACCCCTGTGCTCCTGGAACGCGACACCACGCAGCAGAGCTGTGAGAATTTAAGGAGGGCTGACTTATATTCAATCCCCAATCTATTCACCTGCCTACAACACCACTTCTCCTTTACCGCCTATTGCATCCCCAGGCGACAATACACCAACCAGCACATGGTTGGTTGATCTACACTCATTTCCTTTGCTCTGTAAGTACTTGAAGTCTGCCTGGCATCCCAGTACAGTTTCAGCCGAGATATCTTCCCTTCACCCCGTCTCCAAGCTTGAACCAGCTTCTCTGCACAAGGCTGACTTGAAGCTCTGCGCACCTCCTTCGATGGGTTAACTAGCTTGTATTGCTGAATTGACTGACACGTGGTTTTATAACTTAGTCCTCTATCTCTTCTCCCCCTTGGTGTGCACCCTTCCATCATGTCGAGTCCGCAGGGCAGTCTGCGCCAGCGGAATGTCCCGGGTCCTTCCAAGAAGAAGAATGCCGCGTCTGCTGGTATCGACTCGGAGCTTGAAGATATTGTCAAGACGACCAAGAAGGCTGCCTCTGGATCCAATTCCGAGCTCAACTACAAGATCGCTTTAACCATCATCACTGTCCTTGCGTTTGTGTCTAGGTTCTGGGGAATCAGCCACCCAGATGAGGTCGTGTTTGATGAGGTTCATTTTGGCAAGGTAAGACACTCCATTGCGGCCCGGAATAGTCTCATTTGACTAATTGACACTTCTTTTTTGCATAGTTTGCCTCGTACTACCTCGAGAAGACCTATTTCTTCGATGTCCACCCCCCCTTCGGAAAGCTCCTTTTCGCCCTCATGGGATGGCTCGTCGGATACGATGGACATTTCCATTTCGAGAACATCGGCGATTCCTACATAGCGAACAAGGTCCCATACGTTGCATTCCGTGCGATGCCTGCCCTTCTCGGTTCCCTGACCGTTTCCGTCGTTTTCCTTATAATGTGGGAATCGGCCTATAGTCTTCCTGCGTGTGTCGTTGCCGCTGGACTGGTTCTGCTCGATAATGCCCACATTGGCCAGACCCGCTTGATTCTTCTTGATGCCACACTGGTTCTGGCCATGGCTTGCAGTCTCCTCGCATACATCAAATTCTACAAATTGCGGCACGAGCCTTTCAGCCGTAAGTGGTGGAAGTGGCTGATTTTGACGGGCTTTGCGCTCTCGTGCGACATCTCAACCAAATACGTCGGTCTGTTCGCTTTCGTTACTATTGGGTCAGCCGTCGTTATAGATCTTTGGGAGCTCTTGGATGTCAAGCGGCCAGGCGGTGCTTTGAGCTTGCGCGACTTCGGCTACCACTTTGGGGCGCGTGCCGTGGGACTAATCTTCATTCCCTTCCTCTTCTACTTATTCTGGTTCCAAGTCCACTTCGCCATATTGACTCGATCCGGACCGGGAGACGATTTCATGAGCCCCGAATTCCAGGAGACCCTATCCGACAATGTTATGCTCGCAAACGCGGTGAACATTGATTACTACGATAGTATCTCCATCCGCCACAAAGAAACGAAGGCATATCTTCATAGCCACGAGGCAAAATACCCGCTACGCTACGATGACGGGCGAGTTTCCAGCCAAGGACAACAGGTGACTGGATACCCGTACAATGATACGAACAACTACTGGCAGATTCTCCCAATTCAGGATGACCACCAATTGGGTCGGCACGTAAAGAATCATGACCTTGTTAGACTTCGTCACCTGGTTACGGACACCATCCTATTGTCCCACGATGTCGCGTCTCCCTACTACCCCACCAACCAAGAGTTCACTACTGTCCCGGTAGACGAAGCCTATGGAAACCGAGCAGAAGATACACTGTTTGAGGTCCGGATAGAGCATGGCAAAACCAACCAAGAGTTCAAGAGTGTCTCCAGTCATTTCAAACTCATCCACAACCCTAGTAAAGTAGCTATGTGGACACATACCAAGCCTTTGCCTGAATGGGGTCACAAACAGCAAGAGATCAACGGAAACAAGCAGATAACACCAAGCTCCAATATCTGGATTGTCGATGATATTCCGTCTGTTCCAGCCGATTCTGCCCGTCGCGTCAAGGAGGAGAAGCAAGTCAAATCCTTGCCATTCCTGAGGAAATGGTTCGAGCTGCAGCGCTCCATGTTCTGGCATAACAACCAGTTGACTAGCAGTCATCCATATGCCAGTCAGCCTTACCAGTGGCCATTCCTACTCAGAGGTGTGAGCTTCTGGACTCAAAACGACACACGACAGCAGATTTACTTCCTTGGTAACCCGATCGGTTGGTGGATCGCTAGTAGTCTGATCGCCGTGTATGCTGGTATCATAGGCGCTGATCAAGTTTCCCTTCGCCGTGGCATCGATGCCTTGGATCATCGTGAGTGAACGTGCACCTCCAATCTTTCTAAGCAGTACTGACTTTCATCAAGGTACACGGTCTCGGCTTTATAATTCCACCGGATTTTTCTTCCTTGCTTGGGCCACACACTACTTTCCTTTCTACATTATGGGGCGTCAGCTATTCTTGCACCATTACCTTCCGGCACATCTGGCATCTTGTCTGATCGTCGGTGCCTTGCTGGAATTCGTTTTCAACGCGGAGCCATCTGCTGAAGAGCCAAGCTATCAGGAGGGCAAGGCAGGTAAAAAGCGAGGATCCGGACCTCAGCATCACATCACTGCTCGTGAGAGGTTTTCTGGCCAGAGCATGCTCTCAGCCTGGCTCGCTTGCATTGTGATCTTAGCATTGGCATTCGGTGGCTGGTATTTCTTCCTGCCGCTCACATACGGCTACCCTGGACTTACTGTGGACGCGGTCCTTCGAAGGAAGTGGCTCGGCTACGATCTCCATTTCGCCAAATAAGAAATGGGTTAAGATGAAAGTTCATAGGTGGCGCCAATCCCTGGTGTAGCACAGGACAGGCGCTGTTGTACTATTAGGCGGATTCTGGGATGTCTAAAACGTATAGGCCGGTATGATCTGAGGAGCGACAAAAGTTTTTCCATGAGTAGCTACCCGATCGACGCAAGTCATTTAGATTGTAGAATGGCTTCGTGGTAGTGAAGGACAA